AATAGTGAATGCTCAGCCCCTGCTGTTGTAACTGCAGTGATGGGGTTAGTATGGGGTTGGTTGAGTCATGACTTTCTATCTTGTATAAACCTTGGATCATAGGCAGGTTGAAGCTTGAGCAGCTGATAAGTAATATGTATTGCTAAACAATTTTTATCATCCCATGTTGGGAGCACGGCCATCTTGATGAGGAATATGGATATGGTTGCCACTGCCTGCCATGAAGTGAGGAAGAAGGCATGAAGTACAGCTTCATTCTAGCAGATGCGTCCCAGGGAGCCTGGCATGGGCAAGGCAACTCTGTGTTCAGGTAAGGCTTAGGAGGCATCTGGTTCTGGAAAAAATGTGGGGTTTCTGGTTGCAGCAAATAGCTCAGTTCATTCCAAACAGCCAATGAAGGTTGCAGTGTTGACGTATTTCCTGGCTCCATTAGTCTTGCTGGAGGGGTAAGCAAGTCTGTTTCTCTTGAAGAGTCTTATGATCTATATAAATAATGTTTTGGAAGACTCATTCTGATGATGTGAGCCGAATGAATTACCCTTTTATTTAAAAAAAATTTTTTTAAGAATTTATTTATTTGCCAGAGATAAGAGCACACAGGCAGGGGGAGTGGCAGGCAAAGGGAGAGAAGCAGGCTCCCCGCTGAGTAAGAAGCCCAATGCAGGACTCAAACCCAGGACCCCAGGATCATGGCCTTAGCTGAAGGCAGATGCTTAACCAACTGAGCCCCGCAAGCATCCCTGTATTACCCTTTTAAAATGCACCATGTTACCCTGCGCTTGAATGTTGGGATGCTCCGGCAATACCAGCGATGTGCAAGTTGCCAATTGGGAAACATCAGCTACTGGTCCGCAGAAAGGTAAGCTTGCTCCAGAATATAATTAAATGCAACTTCACTACAAGCAAATCATCAGCAGAACGAAAAAAGATGCTTGGTGATACAGTTGACTTACCTCTGGCGAAAACTCCATATCTTGAAACAGAGCAGACTGGTTCCAAACATTTATGGATTGTGCTGGTCGCCAACCACACTTTGAGTGGCTCTGCCCACAGTTTTCACTCCTTCTAGTCATTTGCCCTCAAACAGAATATCCACTGACTGTAGCCACACATGTGTGCATCACCTTGGGCTGATGGATACAGCTAGTTCCATTGGGCTGAGTTCATACATGAAGCAAAGAGAAAATCCTGATTTTGTAATAACTCCTTTTGGAGGCAGGTTTCTGGCTGACGGGACTCAGCTGGAATCCATAATGTCTCTCCTAACGACTGAAACCTAGTGTGGCTGTTACTGCTCGAGCTGTGGCTGGCCTTCGCCATCCCTGACAGGTAAGACTTAGCAAGACAAATGCTCTTGTCTCCTCTTTTGAAGGATGAGAAGGAGGTAGGAGGAGCTGAGAAGGCACAAACACATTTCTAGCTAGGCACGAATAACTGAAAACCAGTCCAAAGGACATGGGAGGGAAGTTCATTGACAAGAATGTCAGGATTTCCATAAGTGAGATATTTTGTACTGGTTCCAGGAAGAGGCAGAACAGACCAGCATATTGGGTCCACCTAGCCCACGTGAATGGGACATCTGGAGATAGACGGATCCCTCTTGGGTAAAGAAAGGGAATAAAGGGCACCCCAGTGTGGAGAAGGTGATGGGGCCTCCAGCATAAGGCTGATGGAAGAAACGTAGCTAGATCTCTGCCTTCCACAAATCCCTCACCCCAAATTTATACCGCACCCCACCCCACTCGGGGACATGCTTCTCTGTGAGCGGCAGCTAGTCTAGAATAGAGAGAAATTGTTAACCCAGGAAGCTGGAGTTGGGTCACTCCACTGATAAGACATGAGCAAAACCACCTGAAAAGAAACTGAAGCTCTAACCTTCCTCTGGAAGACCAAAGAACCCAAAGTTATCGGTGCACTCGGAATGGGTTAGAGTCAGAGCTGGCAAGCTCTTGCCGTGAAGGCCAGGTAGTAAATATTTTCAGCTCTGCAGGCACGTAGTCTCTGTCACAACTAAGCTCCTCCACAGTCATAGAAAACAGATAAGTACACGTGGCTGTGTTCTTACAGCTCTTTATTCATGACACTGAAATGGGAATTTTCGCATGATTGATCATTTCAAGCTTCTTAAAATGGAACATTTGAGCTCACATCCCCTGCGAACATAGGCAATGGGTGGGATTTGGCCGGTGAGGTGGTTTGCTGACCCCAGAATGGAATACAATATAGACTGTCAAATACAGGCGAATACAACCTCTCAGAGTCTGGTTTGAAACTTGAGCGCCATTATTTGAATTTCTTCTCTGTCCCTTTTTTGCTTGTTCCTTTAATTATAAAATGATTATATTTGCCATTACTATTGCCTAAATTACTATGGCTGCATAACAAATAACCCCCAAATCAAGGGCTTGACACAGTAGTACATGGGTTTTGATACATATATATGTAATTTCTGAATTCCACGACGGCCGAGGTGTCGCCTGACATCCTTCAGAGATCTGACCAAAGGTTTTACAGTTGCATTCTTGGCTTCATCTTTAGACCATGTTTTCCTGATGTTTTCCCAGAAGGCTTTTCTTAATTGTGATGTTGTCTTCTGGAGAGGCTGGCAACGAGGGACAGTCTTTTTTTTTTTTTTAGGATTTTATTTATTTATTTGTCAGAGAGAGATCAAGAGAGCGAGCACAAGCAGGGAGAACAGCAGACAGAGGCAGAAGCAGGCTCCCTGTTGAGCAAGGAGCCGGATGGGGAACTGGATCCCAAAATCCTGGAATCATGACCTAAGCCGAAGACAGGCTTAACAGACTGAACTACCCAGGCAAAGGGACAGTCTTCTTACTGGATATCCAGCAAGTCCTGGTTCCTTTATAATGAATGTTTCTTTCTTTAGTTTATCTCTCTCGTGACTCATGTTACCATCTAGGTAGGCATCTAGGATAAGCCAGGTGACACCTTCAAAACATTGCCTGGACATTTCCTTGGATGAATCCCTAAATTCATTAGGTCCATGTTCTACTTTTCACATTAGCACAGGAACAGTGTTGCTCAACCTCCTGCCATTAGACTTTAGATAGCCCTGCCCTCCCTTCCTCCAGCTTTTTTTTAAAAAAGATTTTATTTTTGAGTAATCTCTATACCAAACTTGGGGCTGGAACTTACAACCTCGAGATCAAGAGCATGTTCTACCGATTTGAACCAGCCAGGTGCCCCTTCTCCAGCTTCTAGTAGCATTTTTCCTCACTCTCCTTTGAACATCCCTGACTTGGGACCAGGGAAACAGGACAGAGCTGTCTTCAGGACTTCGCAGGATCCTTTTCTTCAAGGTCTTTCTGGTTTCTGCCTGCTCTCCAGTCTTAAGGACACAAGTAGGATTTGTTACCATTTTCGAGGAACAAATTCTCTGTTAGCTTGTACCCATTATGGGGCTTTTCCCTCGTGGAGGGTTGGGTGTTCAGAGGGAAAAAAAACAGGAAGTGTCAGAAGTGGGATTCGAACCCACGCCTCCATGCGGAGACCAGAAGTCCCAGGGCGGGAAGCTGTGCTTGAGTCTGGCGCCTTAGACCACTCGGCCATCCTGACACCGCGGCATAACCCGCTTCAGTTTCCTACTTCAGCTTCGGCTCTCCCCGGGACTCGCGGCAGAGGCGGGAACCCCGAACTCCGACGCAGAAACGCAAAGATCGAGGAGCGCGCGCTCCGCGCGGACCCGAGCCTCTCCTGCAAACCTGGAGACCAGGGAGCGGGCGCCCCTCCCCGCAGCCGAGCCTCGGGCCTCGGGCCTCGCAGCGACCCCGCCTGGGACCTGGCCTGGGACCTGCCTGCAGGCCACCGCGATCTTCGTGATCGGACCTGCATCCTGCAGGCCCGGCTCGGCGAACCAGTGCCTGGACTCAGGGGGTCGTTGAGAGACCCGTGCACGGCATTTCGAGGCGTTCCTCCTGTCCCCGACAATGAGGCCACCGGCCGCAGCCACGCGTCACCTTTCACTTCCCCAAACGGGTCGGGAGCCTCCTGCCCCGCGGGGTCGCTCGGGCGCCGCGGGATAATCCGGTCCCCCCTTTCTCTAGAGCCCCCAGGGGCCTTTCAGCTACATCACCCGCCGGGGCGGGGGCCCGACAGCAGCTACTCTGAAACGTAAGGTTTGCCTTTTATGCATCTTCCTCCTACAGACCACAGAACCTGGCTGCATGTCTACCCCAGGAGAAGAAGGTCCTTCTGGTTCCCTTCCATCTTTGTTTCGTTTTTGTTTTGCTTGTTTTTAAGACGAGTTCCCAGGCTTCCTTAAGGTCACCAGGTTGGCAGAGCAAGGCATGACCTTCTCTGGAAAATCGCTGCCGCCTTCTCTCTAGGAAGAGGGGTCACCGGTGGCTCTGAGATGTTGGGGGAGGGGAAGGACGGAGCAACGGAGGGTGCTGCCCTCGCGCGAGGATCGAAATGGGGCTGCGCGCAGGGGGAGAGTGGGAGGAGTCTCGATCGGGAAGAAGAGAAACTTAGGACTAAGAGGGGAAAATGTTTGAGGAGTATGGCAAGAACAAAAATGAGCCTTGTCAGAAGTGGGATTCGAACCCACGCCTCCATGGGGAGACCAGAAGTCCCAGAGCTGGAAGCAGGTGCTTGAGTCTGGCGCCTTAGACCACTCGGCCATCCTGACATGACACGCCGGTGCTGTGCGAAGTAACAACTGTCAGTGACGACAGACCTTCCATCCAGGAAGGGAGCGCAGAGCTATTTCCAGCAGGTGCAGGAGCGATCGAGCATTCGGCACGACCTGCAAAACCCGAAGCTGGGACAGGACGAGTTCTGCGGGGAAGCGGCGAGTTGGCGACGGGATGAACGCAGCTCTGAAGTCCAGGCGCCCACGCCTCTCTGGAGGTCTTTCTCCCGCTGCCCCCCGAATCCTACTGGCCGCGACTTGCAAGACCGGCCTTAGGCGTGGGGCGCTGTTGGAATGCACATTTGATCGGCGCCGCGTGGCGACCGCCGTCTAGGGGGCTCTCTCACAGACTCTCCCGCATCTGGGAGGTCACTGGGTGTGACACCATCCTCGGGAAGTCATGACCCCATGGCTTCTGTCTTAGGAGGTTAACACAAATTCTGCAGGTTCTGTAGCAGAGAAAATGAAAAAGAGTGGAATAGTGGTCTGAAGATTTCAGAGGGAAAATTGAGAAGGAAAGAACAGCCCAGAAAGGAATCAACTAGAATTTCCCAAGGCTGGAGTTCATGCAATAAACATCACACCTCTGTTTTCGGAATATTAGTGGCCAGGCTCATCTCAAGAAACTGGGGTTCTCTCTGCCCTCGGAGAACAATGATTTCTGGTTCCTTAAGAAGTATGGAGTATTGATAACCTGTCTTTGTAAAAATCCATTTAAAAAATTTACCTCTGCGGTAGCAAGCACCTTCTATGTTCAAGACTTTTTTTCTTTTTAAACTTTAGAGCAATCCGAATCATACAAAAGAATATGACACATAACCATGAAGCTGAAAGGAGAGAAGTCTGGTTTTGAGTAAGTAAGCAGCAGGTGGCCATGGGCTCAGGTGTGAGCAAAGATTCCAGCAAGGTAAGCTTCCTCCTCTCCTCCTGTGATAGCTGTAAGACCAAGTCCCTGGTGGGAAAAAGGAAACTACCTTCAGAAACTGAGAGTAGGCTTCAGCTACTTTTGCAGAAGAGATAGCTTCTCAACTATGGTCTCCGGGCATCCTTGGAAGGTGGAAGATGAGACAGTCTCTGAGAGGGACAAGAAGGAAGGCGCTGGCAAAGGGTGTTAGCTAAGAAAGGAGGAGATGGAAAAGCCTTAAAAACGGCTTTGCGGGATTCTTTATCCGGAAGAACCAGGCTTCGGTGACAAAAGTGGGTCCACGGACATAGCTAGAAAGCGCCCGAGCCTCTGTTTTCCGCTCCACGGTCCACAGATCAGGTGGTCACAACACAGGCACAGACTCTCTCACACGCACCTACTCAGTGTGGAGACTAGAAATCGGAGATTTCCTGTAGGCAGCACGTCCCACTGCAGGGGAGGAGGGCGCCGAGCCTCGCGCGAGACTCCTGCCGTCCCCACTTCCCTGTAACCTTGCGAGAGACCGTTCTACAAGCACCGCTTGCTGTTCCTCCCCTACCGCCGTTCCGCGTGCCCCCGGGCGCCCCGCCTGATGGGGACAGCGACCAGCCCGTAGGCGCTCCGTCCCCGCCCCCGACTGCCCCTCCCTCCTCCCGGTCCTCACCCCGCCCCACCATCCCTAGCCCGGCCCTCCTCCCTGTCCCTCCCTCTGCCCGGCCCTCCCCACGGCCCTTGTTCCACCCTCTGCCCCGCCCTCTCCCCCCCCCGCCCCGCCCCGCCCCTCCCCGCTCCGCCCTTGCGGTGCCCTGCTCCGGAGCCCCGCACCCGGGCTCTGCCCGCAAGCTCTTGTCCCCGTGGGGTGCTCTGGTGTAGGCGCGGGAGATCTCAGTTTGGAACCCATCCCTGGAAATCCGTGTGGGAAGCCCTAACGGGGGAACACCGAGCTCCCGAGAAAGGGCTTCCGTTCAGGTTCTGGTTTTTCTTGAGAAGATTGCACAGGCGCAGACGTCCTAGAGACTTCTTGTAGGCAGCGCGTTTGAGAAGGCAACGTGGGGTACACCCAGAGTGGGAGACTGTTGGAGAAGAGACGGGTGTGCAAGAGGAAAAAGGGAAATTGACGCTCAGGGATGACTGTTACTAAGGCACTTATAAATTCATGGGAATCAGAGAAGCACTTAAGACATTCAGCAGAGTGGCGCAGCGGAAGCGTGCTGGGCCCATAACCCAGAGGTCGATGGATCGAAACCATCCTCTGCTAGAGTATTTTATTCCTTGCAACGCGAGTTCTGCGCGCTTTATTCTCGCAAGCTCCAAAATTCCCACGGAACACCAGGCCGAGGAAACCAAGTCCCAAACATTCATGACCGTGGCACTATTCTTTACATTTCTTGTTCTCCTTTGGATCTTGTTGAAACTCGCTCATTATCAAAATTGTGTCTGTATTCACATTTTTAAAGCTCACAACACTTTGGGAAACAACGCACCATCTTATTTACTGCCCATATGCACTGACTCTACCCCTGCTTCTTTGCCTCTGCAGTGGGCCTACCGTGTCTCATGAGTGAGCAAAGATCTGCAGTGAGAGAAGCCGCACGCCTTTTCATCTGCTTGGTCCTTCCTGCCTTTTACTAGGTTGTAGCTCAAGATAAAACGTGGAGCTAAAAAGTAGAGCCAGTGTACCCGAGTGGACTCCCGTGAGTGGGTGGTGAGGGGCGGCGCATTATAGGGTTCACTGCAGTGGAAGGCCGGACGAGTGGGCGCAAAAACGGCGCAATTGGCAAAGGGGAGGGTGGGCAGGTGAGAGGGAGAGGAGGGGGGCAGGGATACGGGGAGAGGGTGAAGGAAAGGAGCGTGGAGGAAAGATGAGGAATGACAAGGACGGAATTGCAGAGCGGTGGGTTTCCAGGGGGTTAGTTTCCCGGACAGAAGCCCCTCTCAGGAGAGGGTGTGACTTTTGTCTGTCTGTTGCTCTGCCATTAACGTCCCAGGACCCCCCAACTCCGGAAGAAAACACTGTTGGAAAGGACAGGAAGTGAACCTCCTGCCTTGTGCCACAACTTCCATCTCTACCCAAGCTTTGGCTTTCCTGAAGTTCTTCCCACTTACAGAAGCCACTGGTGGAAGGGACACCTCTTCCTCCTGGTGAGCTGGTGAGCTGGTGAGGGACCTGCAAACCCCTGGAGGCTGGCTCCAAGGGCTCTGTCTGCAATCCTCACTTGCAGGAATACTCATTCCCTCCCCAGTGGATCCCACCGAGTTCTGAGCCACTTTCCTGTCACTCCTCCTGCAGTAAATACCACCCGATAATTGTGGAAGGAAGAATTGCAATGCTCAGTGCCATCAAGCTCAGATGCACTGCGGAGCTGAGGTGTGTGACCCTTGCACCTGGAAGAGGCTGGTAATTTCTGAAACCATGAACGTAGTTAGCACTTCTTGGATCTCTTAGTTGTTTTATATAGTGAACTGAACTTTTTCAGGAGGCCTGGGTAGCTCAGTTGGTAGAGCATCAGACTTTTAATCTGAGGGTCCAGGGTTCAAGTCCCTGTTCAGGCGGTCCTGGGTACTTTTACTTCAGTTAAGTCTATGTAAGTAGAGCTCATTTAGAACATCTCTAGAGTGGGACATTGGTAACAGCCAGACCAAAGGCATATCCTTGAAGAGGTTTATGTTCTAGTGTTTCATTAATTACCTCTACCCAATAATAACTGAAACTTGGGCCTGAGTTGCCAAGAGGAATTGGAAAAGTGCATAATGTAAAAATAAGACACAAGTGTTGGAATTACCAAGGCGGCCATTTTAAAGTTCCCTGACCTGATTCATTACTCTTGGAGTGGCAGGGGAGCAATTTGGGGGAAACTGACAAGAATTTCAGAAAGCAGTGACTCTGCCCAGTCTGTTCCCACAGTTTGGATTGACTCTTCCTATATAGAAAATGTGTAGCATCTTAAAAGCCCCTGCTTGTAAAAGCCATAATATGCAAACACATTTTGAAATGGTCTTAGCTGTCTTTTTTGTCTTTACATTAACAAGTTTCTGTTGTTATCCAGGGATTTGGATTATGGTTAAAGACCCCGATCCTGGGCTCCTAGTGCATGGTTTCTGTGGGCAGAATGTTAAACCAGGAGGCTGTGAATTCAGTTTTTGTAATTCTTTATGCTTTTAGCCTGATGATATGAAGTATAAATACTGCACTTAAGTTCATTGTGTTAGTTCTCTCCTTCTTTGCTATTATAGTATTAATTTGAAATAATCAGGTGTGTGCCTTTTTGAATCTCTATCCTGTCCTTGTTTATCTTACTTATTAATTTTGTACGCACATGAAAGATAACATTCTAGAAGTCAAAACTATGCAAAGAGATATAGGTAACACTTTATCTGTGATATGTATTGCAAATACCCCTTCCTCCTCTCCTCCTCCCCCCAATTTGTCAGCTGTTTTTTGTTTATCACATTTCTTGAAATGTAAATATTTTCAGATATGTAAATATATCAAATTGTGGTATTCACAAATGAATAGACAAATAACTCGGTGCAAGAAAATACAAAGTCCAGAAATAAACCAAATCACATAAGGACATTTAGTATATGATAAAGAATGCATTTCAAACCATGGGTGCAAATATAGACTTTTTGATAAATAGTTCAGGAACAACATCCCTAGAATTGGAGACTCAAAGCCTTTCTCTGGATGAGGCTCCAGCTCTGGATGTGGCTGGTTTGATCTTCTGTCCAAACAACTCAAACTTTCTCTGTATCGGCAATAATGCTGTTTCATTTTCTTATCATTCATTTATTCACTGGAATAACACTTTTAATTTCCTTCAAGAACTTTTCCTTTGTGTTCACCGCTTGCCAACTGTTTGGCACAAGAGACCTGACTTTCAGCTGTCTCGGCTTTCAACATGCCTTCCTCACTTGACCCCTTCTAGCTTTTGATTTAAAGTGAGAGACACGCCATTTCTCTTTTTCACTTGAACAATTAGAAGCCATTGTAGAGTTACTAATTGGCCTACTTTCAATATCGGTGTGTCTCAGGGAATACAAAGGCCCAAGGAGAGGGATGGGGAACAGCCAGCCGGTAGAATGGTCAGAATATATACAACATTTATGAATTACGTTCACTCTCTGGTTTGGGCACAGTTCACGGCACCCCAAAACAATTACAACAGTAACATCAAAGATCACTGATCACAGATCACCACCACACATATAATAATAATGAAAGAGTTTGAAATATCATCAGAATTACCGAAGTGTGACTCGGGGACACGAAGTAAGCGAATGCCATTGGGAAAATGGCGCTAGCAAACTTGCTCAGTGCAGGGGTGCCGCAAACCTGCAGTTTGTAAGTAACAATAAAGGCAGTAAAGCAAAGCTCAAGAAAGCAAAGTGCGCAGGTATATCTTGTGAGTACCTTCCTGGAAGACAAATTGCTGATTTGCTAGGTCATGTAAATGTTTAACTAGTTGAGGTGATGACAAATTGTTTTTTCCGAAGTTGTAAAAAGGTATGCCCCTGTCTTAGGCCATTGGGGGTGACAGGGAAAAACTGTACTCTACACTGTCTGACCACGACAGCAAGGGAATTCCAGTCCCTGTCTCAAAGCCCTTCCGGGTTCGTCTTTCCTACCCCAAAAGTACCAAGTATGCGATGTAGAAGGGTATAAATCCCCTTCCCTGCTTGTGCTCGGGGCTCACACCTGTGGAGAACCGTCTCCTCTGAGCCCACCAGTGTTAAATAAACCTGCGATCCTCCAGCGTATCCGAGAGCCACTTGGTTCTTCCGTCAGGATCCGTGAGGATCCAGGCCAGGTTCCTTAACACTTGGTTCCCTGACCAGGAAACCCAACGGCGCTGGGTTGCACCGGCTTGGGGCACCGCCGGAGGTCGTAAAGGAGAAGGCGCACCTGGCTGATTTCCGGCAGTTTCCCGCGCCCTGACTCATTTCCGGCAGTTTCCCGCGCCCTGGCTGATTTCCAGCTGTCTCCCGCCCGCGCGCCTCCGGCCAGCACGCTGTTCCCCCGCAGACTCAAAGGAGACTTGGCAGGTGAGGACCTGGTCGCGACGTCGGATTCCGGTGAGGCCTGGGGCCCCAGGACCCAGCAGGCCCACCCCTGAGGGTGGAAGGGAAGACGGAGCACCTCCCAGAGACCTCTTAGAGGTCTCACAGGTAGGGCCTCCCAGGGGGCAGCTCCTTCAGGTCAGGAACACCTCGCCCGTAAGGGGCGATAGGAAGGAATTTCCGGAAGGAGTTCCACAGGTCCGGGCCTCCTGGGGGGAGGAACTGTAATAACTTCGGTGTGAATGTGTGAGTGAATGTGCAGTTTGACCTGGCTTGTCGGGCGGACTGATTCTGTGGCTCCATCGGCGGGCACCCTTAGGGTCCCCAGAAGCCTACAGAGCCCAAGTGGCCCTAACCTGCTTCCGTGGTGACCTCATAGGGTCTAAGGCGAGCCCCTTTGGGGTGCCAGTCTGGGGTTCATACGGACTCGCTAAGGCTAAGAGGCACCCAGGTAATCCTCTGGGATGGCAGACTGGGGGGCATCTGAGTGGTCTCTCCTTCCGAGGGATACCCACCCTTCATTAGTCTTCATGCCAGTGACACAGGGAGGGAACACACAGGGTGGCCAAGGGAACCTCCCTGCTCATCATGGTGGAGGCTCTTCAAAACAAACGGTCTTAGACTGTATGCTCAAAATTTCAAGAAGCGATTCTCAGGAGACTATGGGATCAAAGCATCTGGAAAATTAGGCACATTATGTGAATTGGAATGGGCCACCTTTGGGGTCAACTGGCCCTCCAAGAGTGCCCTAAGACCTACCCAGTGTCCAGGTCATTTACGAAATTATGGCCAGGACTCCCAGACACCCTGACCAATTTCCATATATTAATTCTTGGCTTCAGATAGCCCAAACTCTGCCCCCATGGGTCTGATTCTATGCTAATAGGAAGGACCAAAGTAGGACGTTTGTAACCCTAGTAAAAGAACCCAAAGCCTGTAAGGAAGCAAAGGCTATCAGGGAGGCCCTGCCCGGGGCCATCAGGGACGGCAGATGAGCTCTGGACAAAGATGAACCCATCGGAAAGTGTGGGGACCACAGTCCTTTGACCCAGAGCCTAAAGCTGAGCTGCAGGAAGACAGTGTTCCTGCTTCTTAGAAGTGGCATGTGTGGGGAGATACCTGATTTAGCAGCTCGGACAGCCCACAGGAAACTTGATCCAGACAAACAGGATGTAAAATAACAGGAGCTCTCATATCTATCCTTAAAAGAACGTGACGGGGAGGGGGGCACCTGGGTGGCTCAGTTGGTAAAGTATCTGCCTTCTGCTCAGGTCACGATCCCACGTGTCCTTCAGAATGGGAACTTTAAGGAATATTTCCAAGCAGCTGCCAAAACTCCTTTGTTTCGGGGAAATTCCCTGTCCTTTCTGGCCCGATATGGATTGTCTATCACCCCACCCCCTTGTTGGCAGGAAAACATGGCATCTGCTCCTCTGGAACTGATGATCTCCTGAGCCCGGAAACTTTTTTCTGCCCTCTGGTGGCACTTTGTCTTTTCTGCCTCCCCATCCCGGTTTTCCTGTTTCTGCACCACCTTGGGTGTGGCCTGCATTACTGGCTTCTAGACCATCCTCAGTGCCTGAAGCACCACGACTCCTCCCTTCATTGTCAGGGAGCAAGAAGAGCACCCCCAGGACCTAACACCACCCCTCCAGATTTCCCCACGTGTCTCAGGTGAAAATTGACCATGGGGAAGATCCTGGTGGAACATAATTCAGCATTTAAACTAAGTTTGTTGGTTTAGTTCAGACAGATGTGTCTCTTTTTTTTAAGATTTTATTTATTTATTTGACAGAGAGAGCGATCAAAAGTAGGGATAGAGGCAGGCAGAGAGGGCTCCGTGCCGAGCAGAGAGCCAGATGCAGGGCTCGATCCCAGGAGATCATGACCTAAGCTGAAGGCAGAGGCTTATCCCACTGAGCCACCCAGGTGCCCCCAGATGTGTCTTTTAAATTATCAGTGGTAAACCTGAAACTTTTATTCTGTCAAGGTTTACTGAAGGTCAAATAACCTCATGTTACCTCTGTTGGGTTGTTAGTAGAAAGATGACTAAAATGGTCAATTGTCTCATTAAAGTTTTCATGGGTAATTGTTAAAGTGGTAATTGTTGGATAATTTCATGGGTAATTGTTCAACATTAAAGTTTTGGTTGGATGACAAATGGAATTAAATTTATTGGACGTCTAAGTCTTTTCCAAATGGGATAAAGTGCTAAAGCATTGATTACTGGACATAGATTTGTCCTTTTGGCTTACTGCAAAGAACTAAGGATATTTAAATCTGTTGGTAAATATGTTTTGTGCTTAACTGATTCACAGATTTGCCATTTAAGAATTCTGGTGTAACAGTTCACAATTGGTTACTCCTTAGTCTTCTCTGGATATTAAGGTTTCTAAAGAGGGCAAAATTCTGCTAACTGTAACTAAACCTGATGGAAATAAGGGAATCAACCCTGTATGTGGAAAAGTAGTAGATATGTAAGAAAGATAAGGAATGGGCATGCATTTTGTTAAAGGTAAGAGAAGGTAATTTTGTCCTAAATGAGATAGTTGTTTGGAAAGAAATGGCTTGGGACAAAACCTGAATGCAAAGGAAAGTTGTAGAAGGTTTGTGATGAGATATCTCTGGAAATGAATTTTAGGTGTGGTCAGGATGGACTAAGATTGAAATGAATTTTAAAAAGACACTGGTGTAGAAAGTTGGTTTTCTCTCTTTTCAAAAAGACAAAGTATTCTCAATTGTTGGTCTGCTCTTGATAAGAAAATGCAAAGAGTTGTTTTCTCTCTGCCTGCTTAGAAAAACCAGTTTCTGTGTCTTGAGTTTATCAGGTCTTTAACATCCCTAATGCTATGTAGGCATGCGCTTCAAAACTTTGTAAGTTTTAACAAACTTCCCTAACATTTAAATCATTAACAAAGTCTTGTTGACTAATTAGGCTTCCTTGTTTGGTATTTAATGTTCTGGTTCCGGCTGTTGAAGTGTTATGTATCACAGAATAACTGAGTTTCCTTGTCTAATTGTATCATAGTGAACTCTCCTATCAGATCATTAACCATGTCTTTTCTGAGCTTGTCATTTATAATTATTTTAACTCTCTTATAAAGTGAGTTATACCTTCAAAGAGAGTCATATAAAGGACT